GATCTCCCATTCGCTACCATTGGAGTTTTCCACACCCATCCTTCAATTAGCCATGGAGCAGCAAGGGAAGATCTTCAAAATGAAATCATGCCGCTCGTGACTTTGTACCGATGCGATGCGATCACCGGAGACGCCAACAAATCAGCAAACACCTACAGCAAACTCCAGCACGTCTTCAATCCGGCCAACGGTCTCGTGAACATCCTCATGAGAGCATATCAGAGACTGTGGAATGAAACGAAAGATTTGCCACTCGTGGACAGAATGGAGTATGCAATGGAGACTTCGTGCACCCTAAAATCCATTGTCCGTCATCACCTGTACATGAAGTGTGGATCAGGATATGATCGAACATTCCCAGATGTGATGATGACTTTCGTATTTGGATGGGGCAAAACGAACATCCAGCAGGCTTTCCGGAAGGACGAGATGAACGGCATGGATGATGAACAACTGGTATTCATGCGGAACCATCCAACCAAGGCCATATTCGATTACCAGGTCTCATCCGCAGAGCGCTTTAAGCACGTGAACAATGACATGTTCATGAATGGCTCGCAGGACTCCGACTCTCACAGTCCTCTCATGGTTTACATCCGCAGCAAATCTGCAACCAAGCAACACAGCTCTGAGAGATACCAGGAGTACATCAAGAAGAAACAAGCCTGGACCCCGCAGGAGTACAAGGACTACAAAAAGCAGTGGGGACATCAGAAGCAGTGGAAGGACTATAGCAACTCGACCTGGAATGATTATGGAGACTATGGCAGTCAATCCGACAGCAGCCGCCGATGGTATCGTCGATCCGACTGACCATGAAGATTCATACGTTCAGCACCACGAACTCAATTCAGATGATTGATCCTCGCCGTCTACAAGACTATACCATGAGTGAGAGATCAATAGTTTCACAATCGTCCCGCGTGTACATAGCGTTGTACATCAACCTTTGATACATCTAGGTATCTCAAAAAGAAGCAGTACATACATAGTGTTTTCCATTTCGAAAGCCAAGACATTTCATCCGAGCAGAAAAGAGGATGAATTCGGCATTTTTAATACACATGGCTACGGCATACAGCATGGCTACGGCATACATCAAGGCTACGGCCAAAGGCCACGAAGCCAATAGTATTTCATACTTAGCGCTGGAGATCAAAAGAAATTTGTGTCTGTTTTGTGTTTGGTTCTCAGACCAGTTGATCTCCCGCAACATTTGGCTCAAGGCCCCTTTTGTGTATCATTGCATCATTCATGATCGCGTGAAGCAAAAGAACCTTAGCAGGCCGCTTCCAGGATTATCCACAAGACAATCCACCAGGGACAATCCATCCTCCAATCATCCACATTGGCATATTGGATTCTCTCCGGAATAGATCCAGGGACCAACAAAACGACCTCTACTACCACAGGGTACCAGTTCCCTTCTCAGATAGGTACCTGGGGCAGTGGGCCTCACCCCCCCCCCCGAAAAAAACAACTAGAACTTGCCCGAAAGCATAATGTAAGGTGAGTGTTGCTCTGCGTGTGCAAGTTCTCGGATCAAGAGTTCAGTGCAAGTTGCGCTGTGTGCGCAAGTGCTCTGCGCAAGTTGCGCTGCGCAAGGCAAGTGTGCCGCGCAAGCTCGGAACGGGGCCGGCGAACTGCTTTTTTGGGGGCACCCCAGAACTGGTGGGGCGCCTTTTGGCTTCCTTTTTAGAACCACCCCAAAAAGGTCTTTAGCCCTTCCAAAGTGCACCACGGGCCTCCAGCTTTCAGCACCTGGCTCGCTGGGCCCGAAGGGGAGAAAAACTACTGCCCCTGACAAACGAACATTGCGTCCAACAAGAATTACGCTTCCGAAAAGAAGATGCCTCTAACAATTCACTTGCTGCGTTGCTTGGGCGCCATGTTCGGCCGGGAGCAAGACGCACCCCCGCCTCCAAGCCTGGAGCAACATAAGAGCCACTGGCTTTGTGGGCAGGTAGCAAGACAGGGGGGTGATCTCAAACAATAGCTTTTCGGCTGCCCTCCTAGCCCAACCCGAATAGGTCACACACTGTCGAGTTCTGCGCAAACTGCACCAATTGTGCATCAATTGTCCGCTCCCCTACAAATGGTTGCGGGTCGGTGGTTTGGAGGCTGTGGGGCGGTTGCCCATTTATGGGGGGTTGCCCATTTACCCTCTAAAAAGTGCGGGGTTCATTTCCCCAAGCCAGAAACCTAAAACCACTTACCTGATAAATGGCCCCCAAACCGGGAAAAACAACATTCACCTTTTGCCGACGTTTCTCTTCGCATGCGGTGTCCTGCAACAACCTGAAAGCCCCCTTGCCATGGGTGCCTGGGACGTTGGCTGCGCAGAACTCGGCCGCGTCGAACTCGCGCGCCGCATCCGGAAAGTCGGCTACGTCCTGCTCGCAATTGCGACAACCCCGCAGCTCTTGGCGCGCTGTCCCTCGTGTCATGATCCAAGCTTGATACAGCTCGATTTCTGGCAAAGGACCCAGATATCCTCAAATATCTGGCAATTCTTCTGTACAAATAAGTATGAAAATACATATCGATGTACAATTGAAGCGGTGGCTGAGAGATTGTTACGCTCCCTTGCCTTTTGCCGGGGGCAAAAGGGGCAACAACCGCGATTTACAAAAAATGTTGAAGATGTCAACATGTCCAAGGTTGCTTTCAAGTCTCAACTCTCTTATATGTCTCCTTGGCTCAGGGGGTCACAGGTGCTTTCTTGTCAGCCCGCCGGGGGGGGGGGGGATACCTCGCGTAAATTGGGAAGTATCTCTCTCTCTCTCTCTCTCTTTCTGTCTCTCTTTGTTTCTCTTCTTCTCCCTCGCTTTCTCTCTCCGTTCCTCTATCTGTTTCTCTCTCGTTTTCTGTCTCTTTTTCTCTCCGTTTCTCCCCTTTTTCTCTCTCCTTTTCTCTCTCTTTTTCTCTCTCTGTTTCTCTCTCTCTCTGTCTCTCTTTTTCTCTTTCTTTTTCTCTCTCTGTTTCTCTCTCTCTCTCTCTGTCTCTCTTTTTCTCTTTCTTTTTCTCTCTCAGGTTCTCTCTCCTTTTCTCTCTCTCTGTCTCTCTCTCTCTCTCTCTCTCTCTCTCTCTCGCTCTCTCTCCCTCTTTTTCTCTCGTTTTCTCTCTTGTTTCTCTCTTGTTTTTTCTTTTCTCTCTCTCTCTCTCGCTCTCTCTTGTTCTCTCTCTTGTTCTCTCTCTCTCTCTCGCTCTCTCTCTCTCTCTCTCTCTCTCTCTCTCTCTCTCTCTCTCTTGTTCTCTCACTGTTTCTCTCTCTCTCTCTCTGTTTCTCGCTCTCTCTCTCTCTCTTTCTCTCTTTCTCTCTTTCTCTCTCTTTTTTCTCTCCCTCTTTTTCTCTCCCTCTTTTTTTTCTCGCTCTGTCTCTCTCTCTATCTCTTTTTTCCCATGGACGACCATGGATGGGAGCCATCCAGCCTTTGGAACCGCCTTTCAAGAGAAGGTTTTTTCTAAGGCTCCACTCACATGTATACACAAAAAGGATATGCGTGGTTGGCTGGAGGCCCTTTAGCAGCTAAACTTTAGCACCCCCTGCCATTGCTTCTTAAGGATGCGGATTGCTTATTCCCAGATTACGCTCACAGTTTGCCTGGCTTGGTAAAAATACTTGTGGAGATTTGCGCTATGTTTGGCCCCCTGTTTGCTAAAGGTTCAAAACCTGCTTCTCCTTCTCCTTCTGCTTCCCTTTCTATTTCTCTTTTCTTCTTTCTCAACTCTTGCTCTTTCTCTTTTTCTTTCTCTGTATCTGTCTCTTTCGCTCTTTTCTTCTTCTTCTCTCTCTCTCGCTCTCTCTCTCTCTCTCTATCTCTCTTCTTTCTCTGTCTTCTGTCTTCTTTCTTCTTTTCTATTTCTTCCGTCTTCTGTCTTCTTCCTGTTTTCTTCCTTCTTCCTTCTTGTGTCTCTTTCTCGTTTCTCTCTCTCTCTCTCCCTGCCCCTTCCCCTTCCTCTTTATCTTCCTCTTTCTTTTCCTCTTTCTCTTCCTCCTCTTTCTCTTCCCCCTTTCCCGTTCTCATTCTATCATTCTCTGTTGCACCCGCGGGCTTGCGAAAGTGCTGCGCCTACAACATGACCTGTGCCTCACCTTGCGAAAATGCTGCGCCTGCTCGGCCAGGAGATCAGCGACCGGCCTTCTGAAAGCGCTGCGTCAAAATCTTCGCCTGTCCTTGCGGAAGGCCTCGAAATCTGCACCTGGCCTTGCAGAACCGCCACGACTGCCACACAACCTGTAGCTCACGCTGCCGAAGTGCTGCGCCTGTCACGCAAAGCGACGCACGCGTCCGTGCAAATGGCCCGAATCCGCGCCGCTCCGCGTTCCGTCGAGAGGCGCTCCAGCTGAGGTAGCTGTTGGCTAGCTGGACATGTTTTCTGGCGTTCGTTTATTACCTCTTCATGGCTTTGCGCGGAGCTAGCTCTAACATAGTGTCCGTGACACGGAAGTTCCTTGTAATTGTGAATCCAAAATAAACAAGAAAACTTCATGTGTTTTGACCCACTCCCCTCAGCGCTCCCCACGCTCCCCACGCCCCACGCCCAAATCGCAGAACGCGCTCCTCTGCGCCTTCAGGCCCGCCGCCGCCTCCGCCGCGTGGATTTCGCCGCGCAGCACCGCACGGCGCACCTCCCGCGCCTTCCTCGGACCCCAGTTTGGGCGAGTCTGCTGGGGCGGGGAGGGGCCAAAGGCAAACTTCGGCCAAAACTCCCTTCACACCCCTACGTTGGCTGGGTGGCTGACTCGATTTGGCACGGCCGTCCTAGGTGTTCGAAGCTTTCTGAGGCTGATTACATGCGGCGGCTGCGACAAACAATGCTTCCTGACCTTTGAAGGCATAACATGCTTGTCTGCCACGTCTCCACTGAAGCACCGCTAGAAAATGCGTAAGTACCTCTCCCGCGTTGCGCCGACCTAAACCGACCCCACGCAAAGGGGCAGCCGCCTGCTGCCCGAAACTGCCCAACACATCCTGTTTGATGCATATCGTGCGAACTGGCTTATTGAGCAACCTGCCCCATCTATCCAGTTCCAAGTGTCATGTGCAAGAAACCCTGAATCGAAGTGACTGGCTGGACGTCTTCCAAAGGTTGCGCAAAAGATGGAGAAGAGGCCGCAGTCCTCGCCACTGGCTCTGCCAAAGTGGGAGAAGGAGCGGCGGGCTCCACCACCAGCTCTGCCTTGAGGGAAGATGCCGGGCTCAACCCAGCCGCAGGCTCCATGCCCTCGTCTCCGTGGGCCTGCAGGGTTTGCATTGTTTCACTTCAAGCCTGGCCGCCTGGCTCTGGAAATGTGTCCGAGGGGCAAGCTGGGTTCGATTGCCGAAAGAGTGAATGCTTCGTGATACCTCGCGCCACAAAACTAGGCCTATTCGTGATGCCAATCCTGATGATGTCTGACGCCTTGTGATACCAAGCTTTAGACAAAAAATAGGTGCCAACTCGGACAACAAACAGAGGCGCTCCCACAAGCAAGGTTTGGCAAGTTGCGATAGAACCAGCCCTGGCTCTGCGAGAAACGTCAAGGCGGCTTAAACCAGCAAGAAAGCAACGTCGACTCGGCAACCAACTGGATATACAAAGACACTGCGGCGGAGACTTGCGCTGCAGATTGGACAAAATCAGCCCCTGGAACTTGTAAGTTCTTGGCCGGGGAAAAGACAGTAGAATCCCAATAACTTTGTCAATTTGAGCTCAAAAACTCCAAACAGAAGACCCCTTCCGCGCTGGGGAACAATTTTCCTCGGGTGTTTTCCTGCAGCTTCCTTGCATTGACTTTTGACATGTCTAGCTGCTTTCAACTGGCGTCCGTACAGGTGCACTTTGGCATTGGAAGGCAGGCAGGCTCCATTCGCGAACTCCAGGGCCAAGAAAGGATAGATGTCCCACCACCCAGCACACTGAGTCACTGGTGGGCCATAACGGCTGTCAAGTTCTGCCTAGCCATTGGCTGGGCACAATTTCTCTTCAATCTGCGGCTTGCGTCGATGCCCGCGAGGTGTGACCACACGCTCTTGCAGGATTGCCGCCTCTTACAGCGAGCGAGGTGCTGACGTCACAACACAGTGGGGCATCAGGCACTGTCCTCCAAAAGCCGGAAGCAGTGTGCAAATCCAGCTCTGTGTTTCTGACACGCGTGCATGCAATCGAGCGCGCAGCAAGTCTTACAAAGCGATTTGCATCATTGAAGGGTTGCTGTTTTCAGCTTGCTTACTCCAACAAGCAACGCCAAGTTCTGTGCTGCGCACCCAGTCACTGGTGGACCATAACGGCTGTCAAGTTCTGCCTAGCCATTGGCTGGGCACAATTTCTCTTCAATCTGCAGCTTGCGTCGATGCCCGCGAGGTGTGACCACACGCTCTTGCAGGATTGCCGCCTCTTACAGCGAGCGAGGTGCTGACGTCACAACACAGTAAGGCATCAGGTAAGGTCCAAAAGCCGGACGCCCGGCGCAAATCCAGCTTGTCTTTTTTCACACGCATGCATGCAATCGAGCGCACACACTGAGAGGCGGTCAGCTACTTACGGCGTGAATCATCATCATTGGCCAAGATTCTGAAGCCAGCAACGACAGAAGAGTCATGCAAACAGAGTGGCATCATTGAAAAAAGTATTGTTTTCAACTTGCTTCCGCCAACATGCAAACGACTCCTGCGCTGCCGAGTTCTGTGCAACGCAAACCGCCACGCTTTGCAAGCGCAGCCCGAACGGTCACCTCACACTGAACACACTCAAGGCGTGAGGCAGAGTTCATCCAAGGCTTGGTGACTGAGGGGCGGCCAGCTGCGTAGGCCGAAAGCGAAAACTTGCTGAAATTCATCATCGTAATTTGTCATGGGTCTAGAATCGACACCAGCAACGTCAGAAGCGTCATGCAAGCTGAGTTGCATCGTTGAAAGTGGTGTTGGCTTCATCTTGCTTTCGTCAACATACAAACTACCCCTGTGCTGCTGTGCTGCCGCAGTCTGTGCGGCGCGAGCTGCCACGCTTTGCAAGCGCAGCCCGAACGGTCACCTCACACTGAACACACTCAAGGCATGAGGCAGGGTTCATCCAAGGCTTGGCCACTGAGGGGCGGCCAGCTGCGTAGGCCGAAAGCGAAAACTTGCTGGAAGTGCCTCATCGTAATTTTTCATGGGTCAAGAATCCAACACCAGCAACGTCAGAAGCGTCATGCAAGCAAAGTGGCATCATTGAAAGTGGTGGTGTTTTCATCTTGCTTTCGTCAAGATGCGAACTACTCCTGCTGAGTTCTCTGCGGCGCGAGCCGCCACGCTCGCAAAGGCAGCCAAACGGCCACCAACACTGAATAGACTCAAGGCATGAGGCAGGGTTCAGGCAAGGCTTGGTCATTGAGGGGTGGTCAGCTACGTAGGCCTAAGGCGATCTGGCTTCCTTCATGCCTCGTCATAATGATTGATCAAACTTCTGACGTCCAAACAGGTAGACGGCTCACGCTTCCGTCAACACGTGCGCGCGCCGCCATGCTTGCATAGGCAGCCCGAATGGCAACCAGCACTGAATAGACGCAAAGCAGGAAACAAGGTGCAGGCAAGGCTTGGTCACTGAGGGGTGGTCAGTTGCGTAGGCCTAAGGCGAACCTGGCTATGCGGAGGCAGGGTCGCTTGGGCACTCAGGGGCAGTCAGCTCGGCCTAAGGCGAAACTGGCTGCCCTCGTGCCCTATCGTGATTATCATTGATCAAGGTGCTCACACCCGCAAAGGCGCAATAAGAGTGGAATCATTCAAAGAGTAGTGTTGGTTTCAGGATGCTTCCGTCAACACGCAAATCTACTCCTGCGCTGCCGAGGTCTATGCTGCGCAAGCCGCCACGCTTGCAGAGGTGCCGAATGGCCACCAACACTGAACAGACTCAAGGCAGGAGGCAGGGTTCAGGCAAGGCTTTGTTGCTGAGGGGCCGTCAGCTAGGCCTAAGGCGAAACTGGCTGCCTTCGTGCCTCATCATATGTTTCATCGGTCAAGATTCTGACACTGGCAATGACGGCACAATGACAGAATGGCATCGTTGAAAAAGTAGCATTGAGTGGCATCATTGAAAAATGTATTGTTTTCAAGATGATTTCGCCAACATGCAAACTACTCCTGCGCTGCCTGAGCGCTGCGACGCTTGAGGCAGCCCAAGCGGCCACCAACACTGACCAGACTGGAATCGGCTTGGTCACTGAAAAGCGGGGTGTATCTCCGAGTATGACACGTTTGCATGTTGCTTGTGTTGTGACCTCTCCTCACCACTGATGGATGAGAATCTGAGGCGTTTGTTGATTGAGCGAGGGGCTCACAGCGGCCGAAGGAGAACCTGGCTACGCCGTTTTCTGATGTTGTCCCACTCGCCCGCGACATTTTGCCGAGTCGCCATCTGGAACCTTTGGTTTGTTTGTTGGCTGAATGCCCCACTTCGTAGGTCAACCTTTTGCACGTTTGCGCGGGGGAGCAAGTTGGGGGTCCACGCAGGATAAGAGTGCAATCATTCAAAGAGTAGCGTTAGTTTCAGGATGCTTCCGTCAACACGCAAATCTACTCCTGCGCTGCCGAGGTCTATGCTGCGCAAGCCGCCACGCTTGCAGAGGTGCCGAATGGCCACCAGCACTCAACATGCAAACTACTCCTGCGCTGCCTGAGCGAGGGGCTCACAGCGGCCGAAGGAGAACCTGGCTACGCCGTTTTCTGATGTTGTCCCACTCGCCCGCGACATGTGCGCTTGCGACTCTAGCTGATACCGCGCTTTCCTTGCTGCATGCAAGCGTGGGAGTGACGTGACAGCCATCGTGGTGGTTCGTGCAGCTCGAGGATGAGATTCAAAGATAGGAAGAGTCTGACTCAGGTGTGATGTCAGTGTATTAGCTCCATCTGGAACCTTCGTTTGTTGGCTGAATGCCCCACTTCGTAGGTGATGGACCTTTTGCACGTTTGCGCGGGGGAGCAAGTTGGGGGTCCACGCAGGATAAGAGTGCAATCATTCAAAGAGTAGCGTTAGTTTCAGAATCCGCCAACACGCAAATCTACTCCTGCGCTGCCGAGGTCTATGCTGCGCAAGCCGCCACGCTTGCAGAGGTGCCGAATGGCCACCAGCACTCAACATGCAAACTACTCCTGCGCTGCCTGAGCGAGGGGCTCACAGCGGCCGAAGGAGAACCTGGCTACGCCGTTTTCTGATGTTGTCCCACTCGCCCGCGACATTTTGCCGAGTCGCCATCTGGAACCTTTGGTTTGTTTGTTGGCTGAATGCCCCACTTCGTAGGTCATGGACCTTTTGCACGTTTGCGCGGGGGAGCAAGTTGGGGGTCCACGCAGGATAAGAGTGCAATCATTCAAAGAGTAGCGTTAGTTTCAGGATGCTTCCGTCAACACGCAAATCTACTCCTGCGCTGCCGAGGTCTATGCTGCGCAAGCCGCCACGCTTGCAGAGGTGCCGAATGGCCACCAGCACTCAACATGCAAACTACTCCTGCGCTGCCTGAGCGAGGGGCTCACAGCGGCCGAAGGAGAACCTGGCTACGCCGTTTTCTGATGTTGTCCCACTCGCCCGCGACATGTGCGCTTGCGACTCTAGCTGATACCGCGCTTTCCTTGCTGCATGCAAGCGTGGGAGTGACGTGACAGCCATCGTGGTGGTTCGTGCAGCTCGAGGATGAGATTCAAAGATAGGAAGAGTCTGACTCAGGTGTGATGTCAGTGTATTAGCTCCATCTGGAACCTTCGTTTGTTGGCTGAATGCCCCACTTCGTAGGTGATGGACCTTTTGCACGTTTGCGTGGGGGAGCAAGTTGGGGGTCCACGCGGGATGGCCTGGGTGGGTACTTCAGCAGGGATTCTGGGTAGCACGACAGCGTCAGCGGTTAAATGACAAAGAACCTAGCATCCGCGCATGCTGATATCCGTGGGGCAAGCGTTGATGCAAGGCCACTTTCTTGAAGCTCTAAGTTTGCAGTGCAATGTGTTATCCAGCCATCTTCTCATCATCAGCAGGGCAAAGACATCCCAGATATCTTGCAATGATTTCACTCACCAGAATCAGTTGGAACGTCTTAAGGTTCTATGGCGCGCGACTTCTTGGACATCTGGATAGGCCACCATCTCCCAAAGCTCCCAGCTTTGAGAGCACAAAAGCTCGAAGTCAAAAGGCTGCGGCGGCAAACTTCAACCATGTAAGCTCGGATACGTAGCATTCTCCAAACACACAAGCACCCAGAGAAACCTGCAACCCTGTCCAGAAACCTCCGCAACCCTCCGAAAGACCCAATGCCTGTCGCGTTTGAGTTCACATTACAACTTAGTGAACCATTGCACTGAGTTTTCCGCCAATTATCACACAAATTAGGTGATCCTCTGCGGAAGGTTATTATGCAATTCCTCCAGCCATCCGCTTTGCCCACATGAAAGGCAAGCGTGAGATGGTTTCCACGATCCAGGTTTCCACAACCAGGACGAGGTTCGTAAATAATTTGGTCTGGCATCCCCTTATTCAGCCATGAAGAAGTGACCCCAAAGAATAAACAGCCATTAACCAACCCGATGTTATGAAAACTCGCCTCGGCTGCCTCGGCCGCCGATTCTGACGCCAGGCGCGCGGCGAAGCGCCGGAGCCGCACCGAGGCCACGCGCTCCTCCTGCAGACGCCACTGGCGCTGCTGCGCGGACAGGTCCTCAAACGGTTTGGGGCGGAGCGGCGAAGCTTGAGACCCTGGACCCCCCTCAAACAAAAAGGAACCACGAGTAAAAATCCGCTTACGCCTGTGCGCATGCATCTACAAGCTTCTTGGCTGATCTAGCATTTTAGATAGATCTACCTACCTACCTACTTCACTTATCGTATCCATCTACGAGTAGCTTGGTGAATTAGTTGTTTTCTAGCCTTCGCTGTGGCTTTTGCTAGTTCGACTGCTCCGGCCCGCGCAAGTTTCGAATCTTGGCCATTCACAGCAGGGCACGATACAAAAAAACGCTGGTCCACGCAGCCATGCGCCACCTTTGGGAGAGGATGCGGCCGTGGTACCGGCACCACAAGGGGTTGTCAACCCCACCCCATCCACCCCATGTTTCATCAAAACGCGCAACTCGGCAGGCATCGTTCCATCCCAGACCTCCAAGTTCCGCCGAGGTGAAGCTGGAACACCTTGTTGAATGCAAAAAAGCTTGATGACCGTCGCTGGATGACCGCATGCCCCCCCCATCCCCCCCCTTTAATGGAAGGTGAGTGTTGCTCTGCGTGTGCAAGTCAGAACAACTTTCTATGAACAAGTTCCCTGACTCTGAGCAAGTTCTGTGCGTGCAGCGCTGGCCACAACACAGTGGCCTTTCGACGTGGTTGCAACTGTTGATCCGGACCTGCGAAAGTATACTTCGCGGAATGCTTTCGTAGCTTAAAGTTGCGATCTGCCAGCCGAAGCCTGTTGAAAGTGTACTTGGTGCAACACATTCGTACTTAAAAGTTGCGAGCCGGAGCCTTCTGAAAGTGTACTTCGCACACTACTTTCGTGCTGGAAAGTTGCTATTTGCCAGCCGAAGCTGCGAAAGTGTACTTCGCGAGCTACTCTCACAGTTGAAAGTTGCGAATTCCCAGCCGAAGCTGTAAAAGTGCACTTGGCGAGTTACTTTCGCGCTGCCTCTGTTCTAGCTTAGAGGTCATGGAGACCAGACCACTTGTCAAGCAAGTGTTCCGACTGGAAAAAGCATCTTACTAGCATGTCGTGCGATCGACCACGCCAATCCCTGCAGAGCACCGTATGCGCTGCAGAAATCATAAAAGTCCTCAGCTTTTGCACATCGCCAATCCCTGCAGAGGGTTTAAGAGCCTAACCTTTTACTTTCGCGTCCACATGTCTCGCGCGAGATTTCTCGTGCTAGTTGGCTCGTGCAAGTTTGGCTGCGCGAGCTTTCTCGTGCAAGTTGACGCTGTGCGAGCTTTCGCGCGCAAGTTGGCTCGCGCGAGCGCGGCGGCGCACAAAATTCTCGCGCAGCTTGGCTCGAGCAAATTTGGCTGTGTGACAAGGCCGATTTTACCGGAAGAACCCTTCGCAATGCCTTCGGGGAAAGAAGGAACCCAGCAAGTGTGAGATCCATGCGCTGTAGTCAGGCCACAGGCTGGGATGCCGACGACGCCCGCAATGCGGAAATGCTCTCCCCGCCTGCGGCGGATGTAGAGGGAGCGGCCAGGACTGGAACCATGAGCTTGTGTCAAAGTAGGGGGCCCTTAATATGCACGGCCTTGTCTTGGTAGCCACGAAGGGCACCCCCCAAAAAAAACACCCACGTACCAGGGCGATCCTGCACGGGTTCCAACAACAATGCGCTCAATGTTCAACCTATTGCAACTGGCAGTGGCGGGTTGCCTCTGTTGACAAGATGCGCACAATCAAAACATTGTTGGGGAGTGAGCATAATCCCGATAAGCCCCTGTCACCGCCATCATAAATTTGAAGCCGGAAGGTATGAAGGGGTATCCAGGAAGGGAGGGAGGGAACAGAACAACTGTTCACCAAATGGCAATCGGTGCGAGCATAGGTGCATCCATGTTGTTTATCTCAGTCTTGTGTCTTGATGCTCTGTGAGCTTATTTTCTTTTCCAAACCAAGCTCAAGTGAAGGTGATTCCTTGCCATTCATACCACGAATAAACGAGAGGTTATGAGGTCCAGGGTGTGCACAGGTGACATGGAAACCGGATCTGTTTCTTGTTGAATCCGGCGTGGGGCTGATGCCAAGCGATCCATTTCGTTGCCGGCATCGCGTGGCTGGGTTCTTCAAGCAAACTCAACGTGGGGTGGGGGTGGTCCCGCATGGATCTTGGAGGAGGTGAAGGGCGTTGAGTACTGGGGCGTACCTCCCCAGAGTTGCTGCCCAGCCTCCATCCACATCCATGCTCTCTACACTTCTCCCCAGCTGCATTCGCTTCAGCGCGGCCCTCATTTCCTCAAGCAAGAAGAAAAAAGGAGAGAATGCTTTCCGGAAAAGAACTCCCGATCATCCGACGGACACTGTTTGGCGCCAAGAAACCCGCCCGGCCCGTTAAACCGGAGGCGCCGCCACCTGTGCGCAGCTCTCTTGGTACAACTCCTCCGCCACCCGAAGCTCGCCCACCAGCTTCGCCCGTCGCTCGGAGCTCGCCACCGCGAAGGGCGAGTCCGTCTGGCGCCGGCGGCGAGTTGCGCGCCGTTTGGGGGGGTGAGTCCCAAAATGGGAGCACCCCACCTTATCCCGTAGGAACTAGTACCCTGTGGTTGAGAGTCTTTATTGGTGGTTGGATCTATTCTGAGGAGAACCCAATATGCCAGTATTGGATGGTTGGCCTGGACATCCCTGGTTACACTGTGGGTAGAGGGTGTGGGATTATACCTGTGACAGCGGTCTGTAAGGTCTGCTTTTTACTGGATGGCGTGAATCGCAGAAATCAGACTACAGAATAGTGTGTGAGTAGGTCAATTGCGAAGCAAAAGCAAACACAAAACACACACAAATTTCTTTTAACGTTTCACACCGAATTACTATTCATGTTGGCTTCTTAGCCTTTGACCGTAGCCACTTGAAACTGGCTGAATGCCGTAGGCTAGCATGGTGTGCGGCGACTGATATTGCATATCCTGTTGACAAGGATGACTGTTCGTTCTGGGCAACTGGAAAAATGTCTCACAAGGTGCAAAAGCCTTGTGTAAGCGATGGGTATCTAGTTATAGCAAAGTGTGTGAAACGATTGATCTCCCACTGGGTAGTCTTGTTGATGGTGAGGATCAATCTGGCCGTCTTCGTTGTGCCTTTTTCGGTGATAACTATTTCGAGCGTCTGATTGACAAGCATCTTCTTAAGACCAAAGGAAGTCGGATGCCTGCTAATGCCATTGGTAGTGGCCGCTCTTAGATGCGCTGCCGCAGTCACAATAGTCGGTCCAGGATTTCTGATCAGAGTCCTTCCATCGTAGACCTTGTTGTAACGCTTGGTCTGGTCCCAGGAGTACTATGTGGTCGTGTTCTTCTTGCTGCGACGCTCTTGTGCTCGCTGAACGCTTAGTTCCTTTGCTTCTGCACGACTCCGGACGTATACCATCAGTGGACTGTGCGAGTTGGAATCACATGAGCCGTTCATAAACATCTCATTGTTGATGTGATTGAACCTTTCGGCTGATGATACTTGATAAACGGCGATGGTGATCATCTTGTCATCTTCGAAGCCATCCATCTGCTTGACAGTCATCGAGGCTAACTCGTCCTTTCGGTATGACTGTTGGATGTCCGCCTTGCCCCATCCTAATTTGAAGGTGACCATGCAATCCGGAACGTTCGGTCATATCCTGATCCTGCCTTCGTGTAGAGAACGTGGCGGATGATGGACTTGCGAAGGCCTGCTGAAACTGAACAAGGATTTGTTTCTGAGTGGCGTGATGGACTGTTGGACATCCTCCTTCACTGCTCCATAGCTGATACTTGGGCGGGTGTGGAATGCCCCCATTGTCGCATATGGAAGTCCTGCTCTTGTCACGTGGCGAAAATCGAAATGTTTCTTCTTGGCTTCCTCTTTATCCATGCCCTTGTCGAGATACTCTTCCTTAAAATCGTTGTTGAATTCTTCAATGGTCGTAGGATCGTTGAACTCCACAGTAACCTTGTGCTTGGCGGATCTCTCCCGGCTGGATTCCATTGGTTCTTGATCGTCTTCGTCGGGATACGTGGAATGCGTTCTCTTCTTGGTCTCTGTGGGGTTGTCATTCTCGGACTGATTGCATTGATATGGGCATAGAAATGCTGAGCGAACTCCTTGATCTTGGTCTCGCATTGCTCTGCGTCTTCTGGCTTGAGATGTTTGCCCATGTGAGTTGTCCTTCCGCATTGAAGGTTGCAATAATGTTCTTCGGAGTAATCTGTTGGTCCGTCAATGCTGCCGGGTTCTCCTGTGATTTTGATGCCGCAGTGGCTCTCCCCTTTGTGAATGCTGGATGGAATAGCCATGGCATTTCGCCCGCCATGTGCGTGTTGCCATGCTACATCGGATGGCTCATGGTCCAGGATGACATCGTCTGTACAAGCCATATGGATGGTGAGGCCTGTTCCGGGCTTGAGTCCCTGTTCCAGAATCTTGATGAGCTCATCTTGGCATGTCGCGCGCGACGGATTTGATGGTGGTGCTGGACTGGTTGTCCCATGGCATTGAGGTCGACGTGCCGTGCGTGTCCGCCACAGCATTTGACGTACAGCTCCATCCCTTTGTCATGGAAGAAATTGGTTCTGCCAGGTCGGAGTGCTACGTATGCTTCCTTGCTGTTGAGGTTGTCAATCCATCGATGTTTGGGAACAATGTTCTGCTTCAACCTTTCATCGTGGGATCCATCATGATCGCCGCTTTTGGTTGCGCAAGGATTCCCCCCCCCCCCCCCCGGATTAGTGTTCCAAGTCTAGAATTCTAGGGTGGGGGGGGGGGGTTGTTTCTTGTGTCACACGATCCACTCATGAAGCAATCTCGTACGCATTGGCTCACGGCCTGGTGAGAAGCTTTTCAATTTACTGCAGCAACGCCATCGCTTTGCTGATTGTGCGACTTGCACTATTTGATCCTTATTGGGCCAAACGCTGCCTTCTATTTCATACAGGAGTAAAACTCCTAGGAAACCTACGAGGTGTATAGCTGGCCCTGTTTGGCCCCCGTACGCGCAACACCTCAATTCTGGTAGCGGAGCAGGTCAAGTGAAGCGGACCCACCCGCAGCGGCATTCTTAGGAGGACGTCATAACGGCGTGAGTTCCCTTGAAGAGACCATTGTATGACGGCCGTGTTAATTGGTTTCGTTTGTAGAACGCGCAAGACAAGGCCCGCTCCTCAAGAACCGTTTGGTTGAGGACGCAGCAATATACCGCGAATTATTGGACAATGAGAAACTCACAACAGCGTGGAGTATTTGCTCAATTTCCTCCGCGGATACTTCCTGAAAGGCACTTCGAATGTCTTCCTTGTTGGATTCCTCAGTCTCTTCAATCATCGCCGAGGAAATTCTGAATTCGCGACCTTTATCAGCAGATTTGAGATTGCTCCTGCAAAGACTGCGAGCATCTTGGGAAGATACAGCGCCCGGATTCACAGAGACCAGTCCTTTCAGGCAATCAATGACGCAAATCAGAGAATGCGTGAACAGCATAACCAGAGAGTTGCTGAGTTCGCAGGGATGACGCAGAGTCTGCACAACAAGAAAACTTTGAGAGGTTTGTGAGAGGTAAGAAGCAAGAGCATTCACAGGCTTTTCCACTGTCAGACAACATGTTGACATTGTTCTTCATTATACTATACAGAGTGAGCTTTCAGAAGGCCAACGCAAACGATTGGTATCTTCATTGACCCTTAGAGGCATCCAGCTCCCCCAGTATACAAAGGAGACCATCAAGGCCCAGTATTATGACCTTTTCATTGTTTCCAGAACATCTCTTCAGGATCCAAATATTTGTCCGAGCGGCGGAGGCTGATCCAAGACCTTCTATATCCTTGAAAACGGAGATTACGAAGGAGAAGCAGGATTCTGGGTAGAAGATGAAGAAGGCAAAGAGGGCTTCTGTCCATTAGACGATGACAAAGCTTTTTGGCAGGTCCTCCATGATGCGCTCAAAAGATTCCACGTCGGACTCTTAAGTCTGGCAAGGGGCGAAAAGGAAAGAAAAGCAAGGGCAAGCGCCAAAGAGGCCGCTTCCGACCCTTTATAAACCACAATCAGGCGGCAAAGCCAACATGGCCGATGCGACCACCACCGATCAATCCTACTGGGGTAAGGAAGGAAAGCAACCTTGGTACCAAAAGGGAAAGGGAAAACCCTTCAACAAATCCAAGGACAAAACAGAAGACCCAGGCAAGGACGACAAAGGAAAAGGAAAAACCAAAACCTTTGCCGTGGATCACAAAACCGTCGAAGTTGATGCTAGCAGAAGTACGATCACCCAAAATGGCTTGACCTACAACAGTAAACTCATGGCGCCCAGCATCAAGCAGGCCGACACTCCAACCCATGTCATTCTTGACAACGGCTGCACAAAGTCCATGGGCACTGTGTGCAGTGGAGAAATTTATCAAGGCAATAGAACCGTATCCGCGCCGGATGAAGTAGGATTATATCCCGCGCAACACTAGGTTCTCATTTGCCATCGGTCAGACCTCAAAGGTCGACTGGACTCTCCGACTGCTTTTCAATACTTCACCACCTATGGTGACTTCCATTGATATCCTTTAGCAAGGACAAGTTCCGATTTTGCTTAGCATCGATCAGATGCGGAATCTGAACCTGACGATTGAAAGCACTCCTCACTGTGACAAGATCACACGCAAGGCATTCGGTATGATTCGACAACCCGTACCGGTATCCAGTAGCGGCCATGCCTGTTTGATCTTGCAACTTTCTGCAAACACCACGACGCCAGGACGGCGAATAAGGCCGTCGATGACGACAAGATCAACCCCATTGCATATCCATCACTTCTCGCCGCAGCATATCCAGCTGAAGCAGCATCGAAGGAACCGATAGTTCCTGCACCAGCACCGGCGGCAGAGACGACCGAACCAATCGGCCACATCAACAACGACCACTGGATAATCAATCACACCACCAAGGAACTCCATGGAGTTCATGCGTTTAAGAGGAGAGCACTGTTCGCACCTGACCCAAGCAAAACTTGTCCAATATCCCACACAAATCTACAACCAAAGAATAATGAAAAGAGTCCATCCAGGGACAAAAGGACCATTATCTTCCATAGAAGGTAACTGGCGAATCAATGCAACATCGCCGAGAACAACTTTAGAGTTATGGACAGGATCCACAATCTTCAAGTTCTCTGACAAACCACTTGCAGCAGAGCAAGTTCACATCGACAAGCCAGCAGACAGGATCATTCCAGCACCAGCCTGCCATGCCGCTGAGCCAAAAAAAACCTGCTGCACCACAACCGGAAGCATCAGATGCTCCCACAAAAACACCACTTACACTTCCACTCGCACTACAGCGCGCACACACACGACTCTCCAAACCAGATGAGTTAAGAAAACTTCACCTGCAACATCAGCACATTTCAGCAGAACAGCTCAAATTCAGAACCCGCGCGTTGCATTTGCCAAAGGAGATCTATGATCTCTACGACAAGATCCGAGCAGAATGTGAACCTTGTCAGAAGGCTGCCACAGCACCTTCACGTAGTAAGACCAGTAGCCTCAGAGCAGAAACATTTGGTGCGTTGACATTCAATTGATCACTGCCAAGTTCCCGAAGGAACAGGTGAACACATCAAGGGTCTTGTGGTCCTTGATGGAGACACTACACTTCCAACCACAGAAGTAGAGAGAACAACCGGTGTCACCAATATTCCTTTGCTACGGATTTTTGATCAAAATCATCTTCAGCCAAAATGTGTCGTTGGTAACCAAGCATTCGTGACAACTGGGTGACTTTCTACAATTGACAGAAGACCTGTCTCCCGAGGTCCCATGACACCATGGCCGAACCGCGCAGAGAACGCAGCACGTCTCACCAAACAACAAGTCTCTGTCACGCTCAACTCCATCAGCCAAAACCTACAAGCAACTACCGCAAGAAACGTCTGTGTGTTTGGATGCGGCCAGCAGAGCTTGTCCAACTGGACACAGCTGCACCACCGCAGCTCACAATTCCTAAAACGGAAGAAGAGCTGACTGCTGGACAGATTCGATTACTTGCACAACAATTTTATCAAGAGGCTCGACAATCTGAAGATGCCCGACGAGAGCACCTGCGCCTTAGGTCAAGGCCAATCGTAATTGGCGATGTGGTACTGTGTTGGAGTGAGGACAAATCAAAGATTAAACCTGATGGCTTGAGAGGAGGAATGTGGTTAAAGGGCAAGGTAATATCCACACATCACCATGGTTGGCATAGACCTTGGAACCAGACTTCTCAAGGTTGTCTGGCTTGCACCAGTTTGTGGACCTTGGTCCATTATGCAGAAAATTAATGATCCGAAAACTGTGGCCGAAAAGAGGGCCAGGTGCTTGCCTATGATCGACGTTGTAGCTTCGATCGCAAGATTCCAACAGAACCGAGGACTCTTTTTCATCATGCAAAATCCTCAAACATCCAAGATATGGACTCTTAAGTCCATCATGGAAGTGATGAAACATGCACAGGTCACTTGGGATGACCTTGATTTTTGTGCATTTGGTCTTCGTGACACAGATACCAAACTTAGAAGCTTGAAACCGACAACAGAAGGTGCTCCAATTACCTTAGTAAGGATAAGCACCGACGTCAGCCTCATGAAGTTCTGTCAAGAGATGGCACATATCCCCCTCAGATTCCTCAAGGTCAAACCTTTGGATCATATGCTCTTCTTCTTGGTGATGTGATTGAACCATTTTCTGACAGTGACATATCACACATCAGATCAGAAGAGTTGGACAAGATCGATGCGGAATACAACATGACCAGCACGAGTACCCGCACATAGATTCAGGATCTACCCTTCAATAATCAGTTAGTAACCAAGCTGCAACGAGCTATCAAGCAGTGCCCGCCAGGAACAGGGCTTGACATTGAATCTTCGAATAAACATTCACGAGTTCTTGCCACTCATAGCGGCGCGAGAAGATTGAGGTACCTCTGTATACCTCACACACCTTACAACAAGTGCGTCATGTATAACCGCTCGCATCGAATGATACCCCACCACTTCCGATCTCCTCATCAGGACCGAGTTCTTCACCAGGCATCCCGCCTTCACCGACACACCAAGATGATCTTGGAAAAGAGGAAGAATCCTTTGAGGAATTGATAGAAGATGAGGAAGAACCGGAGAGCTTTGATTCTCAAAGAACCCGTCGTTGCACCGACGAAGATTCAGACCTGGTACTAGATGAAGCACTCGTGGACACAGTTCACACATGGTCAGAAAGTGTGTAGAAACACTGGACCATTCACTGTTCCAAGAGACATTGGGGACAGACCCATTAGTCCCCATGCAGTGCAATCTGCTGAGGCCCATAACGACTTCTCGTTCTTCGCGCACACACGACAACACAGCAAGTACGACATTGAGTCAGTGCGCCACGGCCTCACCGATGATGACCAAGCAATGCTCAGACTGTATACAGAGTGTATACAGAGAGACAGGCGACCCTCAAGGCTTCCACAACACAACAACTAATCGGAAAGAAACGTACGGAAGCAGCACAACAAAAATTCCGAGCATATACAAAACAATTCCTTGAAGCAAAAGTGCAAATCCTGGCTAGGCAACGAAGTATTCGACCTAGTCGACACCAGGAAACTCCAAGTCAGAAACTGGGTGACTGGAAGATTGGTCTTAACCATCAAGAGAGACAAGGAAGGCAAATTCCTCAAGACCAAAGCACGCTGGGCGCTTAGAGGTTTCCAAGATCGTCAAAAGACCGAACAACAAACGGACAGCCCAGCAGCTTCAAGAAGCGGATTCAGGCTAGCAGTTCAGGTAGCGGCAAAGAAAGGGTGGAGCCATTGATTACCTCATAGTAGATGATCTTCTCGAACAGGTCATGGCCAAGATCCGCAACAACTTCCAAGTATGTTCCGAAGATAAGAATGACTGTGTCTTTGTTGGACAGCGACTCCAGTGGAAACATGATCCACAGCAAGGAGATTTTACCAACGTTCACCAGAATGCAGCCATAGATGAACTCCAAGAGATTCACTTCGATAAACACCTGAAGGACAATGTGAAGCTGAATCCAGCTATGCACACAGCATGCCGAAATGCGCTTGGACAGATAAACTGGCTGGCTTCAGCCTAGAACCCAATTTCACATTGGTTACAAGTTTTCCAGGTGTGCATCCAAGGCCTCATCTCCCACCATTGGCGATGTGAGAGCCATGAATATAAGACCGTCAGAACCATTCAGAGCATTCCTCTTAGTATGAGATTCTGGCCTCTTAAGGGCAAAACCAGATTGGTTGAACACCTTGATGCATCCTATAGGAATAACGATGACAAATCATCGCAGCGTGCACATGCGATTTTCCTTGCACAAGATCGGAATCTTCATAAAGATTCCCCAAATTCTAAAGGATCCCCCGTTGACTATGAACCTCATAAGACGAGTTGCACGGTTTGATGCGCTGCTTTGGCACATATGTCTTTTCATACGAGGACTTTGGTCAGACATACCTGGCGAACTTGCAAATGTCCACATCCTGCCAAGGCCGACGAGCTATCAAATCCGTTATGACAGGCATTCTTCCAAATGTTGATGCGCATCCACCTTTCACGACCTGGTTGAATGGTTGGCCTACAATACCTATGTTGGTCCTTACATCTGCAGCATATGAGGCACACCACTTCTGGCATTCACCAAGGCACTTCCATTGAAATTCCTTTGAAACATGTCAGGACCGTTGGCTCAAGACATTTGTGTCTGCTCCCGCAGCCATTTATTTTCAAGTGAGCTTGACCATTTCAATTAAAAACCCTTTTCGATGTGGCGCAACTTTGGAAGCTTTCGGGCACAGCTTTCCAGACCAGACCAATTTCCATAATCTGATTCTTCGTCATCTGGTTCATCAGTGGCATGGATAGATTCTTGAGGCTCTTCTGGTTCATCATCCTCGAAATTCGGATTCTCTTTCTTCCAATTTGAAAGAACCTTCATGCCGCTCTTCCTCGGGATCTTTGTCAGTTTTCGGCTTCTTAAGAGAAGCTGGTTTACCTTCGGGTTCTGCCTTCTCTTCGTCCAGATCAATGTCGGACCTCGCCGACTTTGGAATAGTTGACTCCTTTGGAGGGATCTTGAAGCAATTCGTTGTCGAGAACTTCCTTGTTCATGTAAGCATCTCCCATGAGTCTGCTCTTGAGGAGAGGTCCTCTCTTGGATGCTTCGATCGTGGTGAATGCAGTCCAATCATCTACGAGTTCTTCCTTTCTGGACCAGCTGACTTTTCCGTCGTAGGGAAGCCTGTTGGTCGGCCCGCACTTGAATGGATCTCTTCGAAATACCGAACCGGTACTTGGGAGTCTTTATTGGTCCCTGGATCTATGCCGAGGAGAATCCAATATGCCAGTCTTGGATGAAGTTGATCTGGATCTGTGCTTTCCACCGTGTGGGATTATGCCTGTGAAAGCGGTCCGCAAAGTCTTTTTTTACTGGATGGCGTGACTCGCAGTCATCAGACTACAGAGTAGCGTGATAATAACGGGCCTTTCAGCCAAAATGTATCAGTGTGTGTGAACAGGTCAATTGCGAGGCAACAGCGAACACAGGGGGGAATGCGGCGGCAGACGGAAGTGCAAGCAGAAGAAACATGACTGTTTAGAAAGGCTGGAGTTCTGGCGGTGTTTGGAGGGTACATTGTTTTGCTGCCAAAGTGCAAAAGTGAGTTCCCCCCTTCGAATCGAAAGAGCTTTTTATGCACAATCAAGGAGCGGTTTAATCCAGGTGTTGCAGGATCTGCACACTGCCCCACCCCATTTGGGTGTGGCTCAAAATTAAACAGGAGGGGTTACGCAGGTTTTGGTCCATGATTCAACACTTTCTAGGGTTCCATTGCACCGGTCTTTTTGAGCCACCGCCATTTTTTTGGGAGCCCTTCATTTCCTGTAGGGCGTGAAGGGCCCGTCTCCAGCCGGCGGCTCGGCGGCTCGGCGGCTCGGCGACTCGGCCTCGCCCCGCGCCGCCGGCACCGCGGCTCGCACGGCGCGCCGCCGCCCCCGAAGGGCCGCGTCCTCCTGACGGCGCAACGGCGAGCGCCGGCAAGGGCGAAACATCCCTCCCCCACATGGACACATGGATCTTAGAATAAGAATTTTCCGAATAACTAGAAAAGCAATAACAGCAATAAGAAGGAGAAGAAGAAGAATGCATAAGAACAACAATAATGCACGATACTTTCATTGTGTGCATGATTCTAAAAAAGAATCCTAACACTGACAGTAAATGATGATGACAAAACAACAGTGGTACTGACACTCCCTGTCCCCCGGCAAAACCGGTTGTTGCATTTGGGGCCCCCCTGTTCCCGAAGCTCCGGCTCGAAAGTCGCAACTTTGTAGTACAAAAACGTGCGCCCGGGTCCCCCTAATACGACTGGATTTGGGCACGGGCGGGCAAATACCTACTTTAGAATGGTTTAGCATTGGCTCTTCTAAAAATAGTATTCCCGGATTTTGGATTTTCAAGAAATCTGCTTTACTATTAGGGCTATGTTTAGCATTAGGAAAAAGGGATTCATGATAATGACAAAGAGTGGTTGCCCCAAGCCCAAGCCACCTCTCCCACACAGCTTCGGGAGTCATCTCACAGGGGGAGGTTGCCTGGCAACACTGAAATGTGTCTTGCATCCGTATGCACGGGCTTACGACTTCTATGCTCCCTTTTCACACCCCGGAAAGGAATCGCCCAACTCCTCCCCGCTTTCCGCTTTCCGGCGCCTTCCGCCACCCGTACGCGAATCCCGCCGAAGTCTGAGGTCCAAAAGGGGCCACGTAAAATTGAAAGCCACATCTCCCCCTCCGGCGAGCTCCCCCCCCCCAAACCCCACCCCAAATTCGCCTCGTGCAACGCCCGGCGCGCATCCCGCACTTCTTCCCCAGCGCCCCGCAGTCTGGCCTCCCAAGACTGGCCTGGCGATTCACCAAACCCCACATTTTCGACGCTGGAACCTCACCTTCGACTAGGGCCTTCTTTTGGTAAGGACATTGGATTTGTTTGCCTTCGGAGCCCTGCTATGGAAGTGAAGGATTGCTCTCCGGGTGAAGGAATATCCCCCCTTCATCCCCCCCCGACAAAAAAGTGTTGTCCTTTGTGCCTTCCCTTTAAAACCACCCCAAAACCAAACAGGTGTTTGCACCCCTACGACTCCTTGCACGGGTTTAAGGAGATTAAGCAGAACCTCTGGTTGATTTTGGCCTGGGAAGCTGCTCCCCTGTTCAGTCGGTGTCATTTTGGTGAGTAGTCATAAGGGCCCTTTTCCTTGGTAAGGACATGGGAAATCCGTTCTTCCGCCTGATTGATGAAGTGAAGGATTACTCTCCTGGTCAAGGAATTCGACTTTTTGGGGGGCACATCCTTTTGACACCCAACCTTGTTTGTTCCCTGCTCTGTTCTGGGGTGGTTGGCCATTTACCCACAAAACTGCAGGGAGTTCAAATCCAAAACTCCTCACTGAAGACAATGCAGAGAACAAAGAACAGGTTTTAATTGCCACAGGCCTTCCCTGGGAACGGCCTTTCGGGTGCCCCGACAATAGCGAAGCATCTTTATCACCCAGGGCCCAGAAAACTGTAGATGTCTCATAAGCCAACACCGCTCCCCACAACATTGCATCCAAGTCACGCAAGTCAGTTCCATCCCATCCCATCCCATCCATCCATCAAAAACACGTCTCTGCCAATTCAGTTCAGTAATTCAAAAATCCGTGACATAAGAATCGGATCCCCAAGTCAAGGACCTTGGCTTTCCCTCACTCTTAGGACCGGTGCTGCCTTTGGATAGCTCTGCGGCCCTCTCTGCCACCAGTCGCTCCTCATGGGGGGGCCGGGAACCCTCATCCATTCACCTGTCTTATTGAGGTGGTTTCAAAAAAGAAACCAAGAGTCGACCCTGGAGTCCCTCAAAAAGAAACACCCACCTGGCAAAGGAAAAAAGATAAATGAGTTGGTGGGACCATTGGTGTTTGGGTGCTGCCATTGATCCAAGTGAGGATACCGGGAAAACTGAAACAGCCGATGGCTGGCGAGTTGCTCGATCCTCTCGAAAAGTAAATCGGCCCCCGAACTCTGCTCGGTCTTTGAGACACCTTGAGTTCAACTAAAAGAGGGAGGCCGGCAGTGGATTTGGAATGTCGCCTGCGAATTTTCCTGGAGACTGCCCGCCTTTTTTTTGGCTGGCAACCAAGGGGAAACCAAAAAGACCACTTTGCGATTCGCATGGATGCCGGTTCTGGCGCTTGTCCATCCTTGTCCCTTGGGTTCGGCAGATTGAGCTGTTTCAATACGGCCGTCAAGAGGAAAAACACCAAGGAGCCCAAAAGATTAAAAAAAAAAAAAAGGGAAAAAAAAAAAAAAAAAAAAAAAAAAAAAAAAAAAAAAAAAAAAAAAAAAAAAACGAGCCGCTGTCCCGTTTGGAGTGCTGGTTCCGGGTTGGGATTGGCGGAAGATTTCCCGCATGTGCCCGGTGGCCACGAAAACAAGTGAAACCCCTTCCTTTTTGCATCCAGAAGGGGCTTCCCAGAAAGTGAAACCCATGCTGACTGGCCATTTTCGACTACTGCTTCACTTTTGGCGGCAAAATCCTCTGCTCCACAAGGTGCCCCTCCGTTTTCAACCGGATTCCCTACTAATCCCGCCAGACAGGACAGAACAAAAGACACCAGCGAGCCCCCCCCCCCGACCCTAAACCCTAAACCCCAAACCCCAACGAGGCGGTAGAGAGGTTGGAATAAGGGTACCCTTTTTCCTGTAGTCTATCTTAGTGTGGGAACCCTCCCCTTTCCAAAAAATGGGGGTGGGACAGCCCAACCCCCCCCCCCCTCACCCCCCCAAACCCCCCCCCCCCCGACCGAAGGCGTCTCCGCACTCCTTCCGCTGCGCCAGCTGCGCTGCCGCTGCCTCCTCCTCCCGCCTTTGAAGCCGAAGCTCCTGCTCCGCTCCACGCGCGAAGCCGCGGAGCCGCGGGGAGTCGGAGCGGATTCCGGAGTCGGGTCGCTCCATTTGGAGAAGCCGCCCGGGGGTTGGAAAAAAAGGGAAATAGATCCCAGTGATAGGGTTCAAGTGAAACCAAGAAGATATTGAAACACAGTCTGCAAATGATTTGCTTGAGCCCTCCGATGGCTCGGATGAACAGCTGGAAAAGATGAAGGACCAAAGGACTGCTTTGAGCAGACCTCGCCTGGAAAATGTCCAGTGATACCAACAAGGAAACTAGACAATACTTGTAAGCAAATGGAAGTACCTCAAATAGAGCAGGTCTTGGTTGCTGGAACGACTCCTCTACAGAAAGTTTCTCACTTGTGGGTTCAAAATGGAAAGCCGTAAAGATCCCAACCAAAACGGTAAAGTCTAAAGATCCAAGCCAATTGCAATCAAGAGGGGTGATGCTTTCGGGGTTACTTCTGAGTTCACACACTTCAGAAGTTCTGCTTCCCTTTTCAGAGGCCATAGTGCAGCAAAGTGGAGAGAAGAGGTTGGCGTTCTGGGCAGCTCCGTGACAAGTCCTAGAATGGGCCATCCGCGGGACCACTTTGTCACAATTCGACAACTTGGTTGCTGCAAGGACCCCCCTGCAAAATGTTTAACTTTCTGGGGAAGCCACCACTATTTCAACCAAAAAGCTAAAGTCTAAAGATCCAAGCCAATAGCAGTCAAGACAAGGAGTGTTTTTTTTTGGGGGGGATCACGGAACGTTGGAGGTCACCTTTTGCCAAACAGCCTTTTCGTACCCCCCGCAACGCAAGAGAAAGAGGGCCCCTTCAATTCCTCTTTCAATCCGCCGGGAAATTTCGCCCGTCAATTTTCAGAAGGCCGCGAGAAAAGCTCCGGTGTGTTCACAACCGGCTTCCAGCCGTGCCACTGGGGATTTGGCACTTGGGATCAAGGAATTTGAGCCTTGAGAGCCTTGAAGCCGCCCGATGGAAGGCCCCGGCTGCCTCACACTCCATGGAGATCTCCTCTTGCCTCACCGAGAAAAAATCATCATCGACGCGTTCAACCGCACGCCGTCGCCAGCCTGAACCGGATGTGTGGACGTCTCATGTCTTTGCATCTGTTTGCACGAAGCCCCAAAAAGAGAAATCTTGTGCTTTGTTGGGTGAGTGGCCAAGTGCAAGCGAGTGGCCAAACTGTTCAAACTTTGGCCATCTGCATTCAAGGCTTGCCGACTGAGGGAAATGAATGCTGGAGTGAGCTATCCTTTCATGAGCGCAAATCTTGCCCGACTCGTGGCTGCGATTTGTTGCCAACTTTTCTGTCACCAAGTCACAACAATTTGGCAAATTCGGACGCGCCTTCTGGACAAGCCACGCCCAGCAGCAATCGCTTGCTCCGCTTGTCTGCGCACGTGGTGGCGAACATGCGGCAAACTGCGGTTCGCAGATTAACCAAAAAAACAGGCCGGCCGAGCAAAATGAGCTTGACCCAGCATGGACAAACTCCTGACGGGCTTTCCAGCTGGATGTCCTTGACTTTTGCAGGGGCCGGTCTCCTGAGCTTGGTGGCCCGCCTTTTAGTTCCGGGACGTCCCCCCACCAATTATTGTTGTTGTTTTTTTAATAGAAGAAACGGGGTGGTCTAGGCAAGTTCTTCTGCCCGGCTAAGCGGCTGGGTCTGCACATTTGGTCATAAAATCACTTGAAGCGAAGAAGGAGCCAACCATGTGTGATTCAATTTCGGCCCTTCTTTTCGGCTCAGGTGCCAACTCTCGTCCCGGACGAACATTGCCGCGGGGATTTCGATTTCGGGGGCTTTTCCGACCGGCCTCAGCTCCAGCCTCAGCTGCCGCCCCTCCGCCGCGCGCCTGTCCCGCGCCTGCTCCAAACTCTCCGCGGCCAGGCGCTTCGCCGCCAATTGGCGCCGGCCCGCCCGCAGCTGCTCCTCGCGGACATCCAAATCTCCCCCCCGAAGATCCATCCGTGGATTTTATCGGGGTCCCGAAAAGGAGATCCAACCGCCTTTTAAATCATGAGAGGGGGGAGGGGGGGAGGAGGGGGGGGGTGCGAGGGAGCCCAAGTAAGCCCGAAATAAGCCCTCATGGCCTGAATCTCCCCCTGCCCTAGCATCATTCGAATGTTCGCTTATGTCGACTTCCCTGAAGTTTGATGCATTAACGGCATCATTTGAAACAATATTACTTGGTATAGCATCCATGTTACCAGACTCATCTTCGCTGCCTGACCCTTGTGGGTCCCTTTGGGTACCTCCCAGGTGCTACCTTTCGGGGGATCGGTCCAAGACCTTGGGGTCGCGATCCCTCACCGCCGGCCACCCCGAAGCTCGAAGCCGGCGCAAGATCGCAGTCTGCCGCTCCCTCCTGCCGCTCCCTAGGGGCTCATTACAAACCAACTCAGGGCCTAAGTCGGTGTCTGCCCAAAACGGTGGGAACCAGAACCACCTCAACACCAGCAGGATCAACTCGAAACCCTGCATGAATGTGATCCCCAAGGCCTGCAATGGAACACCTTGCAACTTGCAACCCTAGGCAGAGATTCCGACACCGCCCCTTCCAAAAGCTCCATGTAAGTGGCGACTTGGTCACACCAAAGACCAACCTCAAGGCGTCTGTCCTCCAATTCCTCCTCCGCCTCCTCCGCGGCAAAAACCGCGGCCTGGCGTTCCTCCAGCTCGCTGGGTTGGAGCCTGGAAGCCGGCGGAAGAGACGCGTGGCGAGCTCTCAAAGGGTTACCCTAAATCCGGGGGTCTGTTTTCTTGTCTCCTGCGAAAAGTCTATCTTTTAGTGGGTTAAATGGACACTGCCACGAAACTAAACCCTAAGAACCCAAAAACTTCAAAAAACGGCTGGGAACCGCCAAGCAAAATGGCTGGCTTTCTTTTGGCTCCTCCGACCAAAAAGAGGTTCGCAAGACGGAGCTCTGGACCAAGGCCCAGCACCCCAAACCCGCTAGCTCGCTGCTCCTGCTACTCTTGGGGCCAATATTTGGCTCGCAATCATTTCTCATAAGGGATATACATTTCAGGGCTCCCAGCTCCTTGCACCCCAAACCCGCCTCGCAACCCGCCAGCTCGCTCCCCCCGCGCCTTTGGATCTGCCCCTCCAGCTCCGAGTGCTCCCACGCCAAGCAGTCGCTCTCCTGCTGCCGCCGGGCGGCCTGCGCCTGCAGCACGGAGGCCTCCTGGCGGCACGTCCAGATGGCGTCCTGGTGCAGAGCGATCCCGCGACGGAAAGACAAACTCTCCGAAGTTCCCGTTTCGACCCCTGGGAAAATGATCAAAGATGGAAGGAGTGGTAGGTTCCATTTAAGACCATCAGCTGGATGTTGTTGATTTTCATGAGGAAAAATGGAAGACACTTTTCTCAAGCATGACCTCTCCTCGGTGATGACCACCGCATTCCTCTCCCTCTGCAGCATCGCTTCCTTGCACCCCCCTTCCCGCCCCACTTTCCGTCCACGCAGCACATACCGTTGGAACTGCCACCCTGTCAGAGATGTAAGCAGGATCGCATAGGTCGGATTGCGCTGAGGGTTGATGACAGGCGCCATCAGCTTTGTTGCCAAAAGGCTGTGATCTGTTGTTGCGGACAAATTGTGTTCTGAAACTGAATTTGATTGGATCAGCTTCCCGTGGATGGCTTCTTTCTCATGATGCTCATATGCGTCATGGAATGCCATTAGCGCTTGTCCTGTGCTGGATGTTTTATGGGATGAGTACCAGCCTTGTTCGTTCCATGTCCATGATTGATCCCAATCTTGGTCTGTCCAACCGGCATAGGCAGACTCTTGGAGTTCAGCAACTGGCTGTGTGGCAGGATGCTCCTCCGACTTCTCTGCAATGGCTGCGAACGTTTTGGATTTTCCTTTGTCATGTCCGCCCTTTCCTTTGCTATTCTCATAGGATGGAGAACCCTTGCTTCCATCATAGGGATATTGGAATTTGGATTTTCCTTTCTTTCCCTTCTTTCCTTTGCCTTTTCCCCAATATGCCTGGTCGTAGGGATCATAATTTTCATTGGCCATATTGGCCTTCCCGCCAGAACCGCTTTTTCGAAAGGGTTTGAAGCCACCGCGTTGGTGACTGCCCTTTTTGTTTCCTGATTTTCCTTTTCCTTTTCTCTTTTTGAATCTGAAATTCCGCCCTGACACTTTTCTTGCTATGAACTCATCGTTCTCTTCGCGGACCCAGAATGTCTCTTCATCGTTGTTTGACCTGAATCCTTCAAGTCCATCTTCATCTTCAACCCAGTATTCGCCTTGTTCGAGGATGAAGAATGTGTTGCTTCGGTTGCCTCCTTGTCGGATGGATGGATCTTGGATGGATGTCCTGGCCGTGATGAAGAGTTCATGGTAATGCGTCTTCAGCAATGCGTCTTCAGCATCTCATAGGAGTAGTGCTCTAGTGAAATGTTTCTCAGTCACATAGCACTGGTCAGTCTTTCTCTCTGCTGATCTGACAATTCACCCTGAATGATGAAAACTGCGCAAGGAGATTATCTTCGAAGGGAAATGCGTCCCGCTGTCTGTCCTGCATTCCCGTGACATATACTGTCTGAGGACTGTCGGATCATCCTCATTGAGCAGGACTGGAGGCGGTCGAGCAACTGTTCTTGCGTTTGCGTCCTGTACGGACTGTCGAAATGATGGGGACTGTGCCGTGAAGACGGGCATCAAGTCCATCCGTGCTGCCTTCAATCTCATAAGAAGGATTTCGAATTTTGAGGTAAAAATGAGGAACTCTTGGTTCTGCCTTCTATGATTGAAGAAACTGAGGAGCCTGTACAGATACACGTTGGTCGCACCCTTCAGAAAGTACTTCTTCAGCGTGTTCTTGAAATAGTTGACTCCTTCATCAGGATCTGACTGCCTTGTACATGTAAGCATCTCCTGTGAGTCTGCTTTTGAGCAGGGCTCCTCTCTTGGGTGCTTCGACCGTGGTGATTGTCACCCAGTCGTCCACGAGTTCTTCACACCTGAACCAGCTGACTTTTCCGTCGTACGATGGCGGTTGCTTGGCGGTCATCGATAAGTTGAGTGTTTCCTCCGTATAGCCAGATGATTTGGCCATACTTGAATAGGCCTCCATGAAGCCTTCTCCATCGGATGACATTTTCCCTTGGATCTCTGCGGAAAACCTGCTTCGCTACCACAAATTGAGGCCCACTGTCGGGGTTGCCTATCCCAGAAGGGAACTGGTACCCTGTGGTAGTAGAGGTCGTTTATTCGGTCCCTGCATCTATTCCGGAGAGAGTCCAATATGCCAATGTGGATGATTGGAGGATGGATTGCCCCTGGTGGCTTGGATTGACTGTTATACCTGTAAAGCGGTCTGCAAGCCTTTTATCAATGTACCATGCGTCTGATGACTGTAGAATTGAAATAGAAGGGCCTTGAGCCAATGGTTGCAGGAGATCAAGGGTGTCAAGAGCAAACGTGTCTCTTCAGAAAGTGGCAAGTACCGACTCGCCAACGCAACAGGCTACTTTTGGACGCTTCATGCTGTCAACCTTTGTTCAGCAAAACTTTGTTTCTTTTTGCAGTTTCAGGAGTGTTTTGTGCTGGATTGAAGTCTGCCTGCATGCTTGCTGACCTGATCTTCTTGGTCTGGCCCGCAAGCTACCAGATCCATGGGCAGCTGGCATGCAATCCAGCGTTTTACTCAGGTCATCGAACCCAAGAAGGACCTCATCTCCTATCAGTACATCCCGGCCTCGCAAGGCGCTGTTCACACCAAATGGAGCCAAGGAATGTCCAATCAATCCTGATAACATCAGCCGAGAGCGTACCACGGAAATCATAGATGCATCCGAAGGTGGAGATCCAGACATTTTAGAAGACAATTGGAGACTTACATCCCAAGCAAACAAACCAATGATTAACCTGTGGATAGGTAAGACCATTTTCACCTTCGCGGACAATTCGCTTAAGGACGAAGAAGCAGGTTCAGGATCGGCAGCAGACAGGATCATCGACAAGAAGGGCCGGTCGACCATTGAGCCAGATCCTTTCGCACCATCCTCAGATGAACCAACATCGCTTCCGATTGCCCTCGGCAGAATCCACAAGCGATTGTCAAATCCCGAAGAGTTGAAGAAGCTCCACCTCCAGCATCATCACATGACAACAGATCAATTTCGATTCAGAACTCGTTCGCCTCACCTGCCAAAATCAACAATCGATCTATTTGACAAAATCCGAAGCGAATGTGAAGATTGCCAAGCGGCAAAACAAGCACCATCACGAAGCAAGACGAGTGGACTTAGAGCGGACACCTTCGGTGACATGACATTCATTGATCACTGTCAAGTTCCTCTTGGAACAGGAGAGAACACATCATGGTTTTTGTCATCCTGGATGGAGCAGCAACATTGCTCACGGCAGAGGCAGTGACAACTACGCAAGAAGTCGAAAACATCACTGTCCTCAGGAACTATTGACCAGTACCACTTGCAGCCCAAATCAGTTGTCGCAGATCAAGCCTTCATGACGGAGACATGGGAACATGTCTACCAATCCCTTGACATCACACCGATATCCTTGGGACCGAACACACCATGGCCAAATCGAGCTGAAGCTGCAGTTCGACTCCTGAAGGCACAACTCAAGATCATGCTAAGTTCCATCAAGGCAGACACAGCACCTGCAACGCTGAAGAAAGTGACATATAGACAGCTGGTGAAGGCAGCTGCAACTGTCAGGAATCAGACTGTCACCTACGGGGGTGTAACACCATTGAAGCTCGCATTCGCAAAAACGACCAGCAGATCTCATCCAACTCGATGTCGCAACACCAACTCAGTTGACGATTGACAGGAATGAGGAAGAGCTGACGGCCATCCAGATCAAGCAGCTGTCTAAGCAAGCATTCCAAGAAGCACGTCAATCCGAAGACATCCGACGAGACCTTGCTCAAAATCTCCGAATGAGTTCTAAGCCTCTTCAGGTGAAGGACAAGGTATTTTACTGGCAGGAAGACAAATCCAAGATCCGTTCCGATGGAAGCAAGGGAGGAATATGGCTACAAGGAAAAGTCATTTCCATCGAAGGAGCAATGGTAGGACTTGATCTTGGGACTCGACTCATCAAGGTTAACATGACGAAGGTCAGAAAGGATGAAACCATCCTTCTGGACAAACCTGGAATTGATCTTCTCTTGCCAGAAGAGCGAGAATCCTTGCAGAAAGAGCAAGCCGGCTCCTCAGCCGATTCCAAGAAGAAGGAGTCATCCGCACCAGCTCCTATGCCAAAATCCTCAGTGCCATTACGCATCGCGGGAAAGACAACTCCCAAGCCTGCAGCACCTCATCCGGCAGAGAACATGTTCGTCGAGGACCTCACATCCGTTCCTGAACAAGCACATTGGAATTGCACGTAAAGGAAAGATCCACGTTCTCGAGATCTTTGCAGGAAGTGCCAGATTCAGTCAATGCTGTGCACTCGGACTCCCGTAGACATCCGCACCGGATTCGACGTAATGACATCCAAAGGACAACACATGGTCATGGAGATCATCAAGGAGCAGGCACCTGATGTAATGTTCATGGCACCGGTCTGTGGACCGTGGCCAAATATGCAGAACACCCAACAAGACCAACAAAGAGTCTGGGAGAAGCGGAAACGCTATCTTGCCATGGTTGAGTTTGTGGCATCGATTGCGCGATATCAGTTGAAGCACGGAAGATACTTCATCATTGAAAATCCTCAGATATTTAAGATATGGTATTTTAATTGTATGCAGCAACTATTTTCAGATCCATCCGTGACCTGGGGAGATTTCCATTTCTGCGCATATGGACTGAAAGATCCTGAATCCGGAGTCAGAAGTCTCAAGCCCACGAGCTTGATGCACTGTTTACCTCCCGAGGTAATGAGACCGATCTTCAGAAAGTGTAAGAATTTTACCAGCTCAGTCATCCTCCTGCGACACTTGAAGGTGAAACCACTTGACAACGAGGTGTACCTCTTGGAGGACCTTTTCGAACCATTCACCATCAAGCAAGTTGACATTCTAAGAAAGGAGGTGGAAGTCATTGACAAAGAGTTCAACATGACCAGCAGTAGTCTTGCGGTCAGAATTCAGGACCTCCCGTTCAACAAGGACGTTCAACCATTGGTCATCCAAGATCCGCTAGTCCAAAAGTTTCAGAAGACGATGAAGCAGCACCCTCCGCGGACTGAAATCGATATCTTCAAACAAGATCCTAATGACTGGCGATGCCAGAACATGTGGAATGGTTGCAAGAAGTTGGGACAATTGTGCATCTCATCCACTCAGTATGATGCATGCACAGCATACGTCCACACCAACGGCATTAACATGCCAATTACGTCACCTCCAGACGATGCGATCATATCCTTCTGGCAGCCTGAGCAGCTGAATAGAATTTGGGTCTTGCCTGCATCCAAATGCAATTGGGAGAATT